GTAGGAAGAAATTCATTTAAAATTGAGGGGCTTATTTTTTGAAAAACGCTCGGACTCGTCGATTTTTATTTTTAGCTGCTGGTTTTTTCATGGTTAATTAATGTATAGAGGGTGGCCCAAAAATAAGCAACTACCACCGACCTTATTTTTCCAAATGGAAGCACCTATTTTTTATTATGGTTTTGAATTCTGCATCGAATTTTAAATATGTTTCATGTATCATATCGTTACTTAAAGTCATCAGTTGTCGATAAATTTACGAATGATTTCTTTCAAATTTGGGAACAACAAATTATTTCATTAAATGTCAAAATTGTTAACCATTAACTTCCTGACAATCAGTTTCGTAACACTTTAGGTATGGTTTGTGGCTGAATTTGTTGTATTTCAGCACTAATTTTGTTCTTCAATTCTTCAATATTTTTCAGTTTATTGAAGTATACATTAGTTTTCAGGTAACCCCATAGACAAAAATCTAGTAGGGTCAGGTTTAGAGACCTTGTTGGTCATTCAAAAACGACTCTCCTTCCTATCCGTCTATTTGAGAATATGTTGTTAAGGTAATCTCGCATTACTCGCGAATAGTGTTGTGATTCTCTATCCTGTTGGAATCATACTGAATCTGCTGGTATATTTGGGTTCTGAGTATTTGGGTAAAGCTCAGTTACTCTGGGTATTATGTAATTTTGTAGTTGATCAGGGGTCGGCAACCTTTTGAGTCAGAAGAGTCAAAAATTACAATTTACAAAATTAAAGTTTTTAAAGAGCCACAAATTTTTTTCTGAAAATAAGAGACTCATCTGTTTATTCATAAGAAAAAAAATATCTATTTATATACAACACTAACTTGTACGTTAATAACAAATAATTGAGCAAACAAATTCAATGGGGGCCATGGCTTTGCGTGGTTATTCAAGAAGAACATTTAAACTTTAAACAATGTAACTTGTAGTTAGAATAAAAAAATTAAAAAAAATATTTCACAGATAATCTTTAATTCTCTTCTGTCTTCATTTCGTCCGTCTCAACTTTCTCACCAGAACCACCACCCACCCATTCCCACGATTCCTGAAAGCAGGCTGAGGAGGGCCTTCCAGGGGTTGATCGTATACGGGTGAAAATTTAGAATTGTATGTATTTTTCAATACTGAATCATTAAAAAATGAAAACAAAAAATTTTGTCCAAAAAAAAAAAAAAAATTGGGGTGGATCACCCTTAATATTTAGGGGTATAAAAAATAGATGTTGGTCGATTCATAGACCTACCTGATAAACATACAAAATTTCATCAACATCGGTTAATCAGTTTCGGAGGAGTTTGGCAACAAAAATCGCGACACGATTAGATTACAAGTCTCATCCATTTTACCTACTTCAAACTTCTACTTTCTTACACCTCATATCAACCCAATGTTCCTACTACCTGATGATGTAATAAATATTAATGTCTGTTAATTCCCCAAAACTGTGGATCAAGATAACATTTAATTGTATATATTTTAATACAAAGGAGTAAAAGAGTATTGCATAAGGTATTCATTTTTGCTTATGCTTGTACGACTAGGCAACTGTGTCTTTTTCGTTTTTTAACTTAAGACAAGTTTTGATTAATTCCGGCACCCTGCAGAACTCGCAATAGTTATTATAGTGGAATATTGAACATTAAAATGCCCTAATCCATTCTGTAGAACTTTTTCTGATTAACTATTTTTTAAAACCAATCGTTGACTGTCACTTTTTTGTTGCAATCAGTGACTGGAAATCTCCTGTTACTAATTTAGATTGACTTGGTAAAAGTAGTTTGAGCTTTAACTAGTTGACGAAGTAATAGAGCACGGTTGTACGTATAAAGTTACGATTAGCTTAACGAGACTCATTTAGTTGGTGTATTGATTAGAACGAGGAGGCTGTGGTAAACTTAAGTTTACTTCAAGATCTACTCCCTATACTTCTATTTGTTATTCTATGGTAATTTTGATTTGAGATAAGATATCAGGTGTTATTTAATTTAAAATTCAAATTTTTATGAACGAATGCGTATTTATAATCCTTTCTTTTTTGATATTTTTCAACGATAATTTAATCAATTTTCAATCACGACGTTCTGGTCCCTACTGTTTCACGATTCAAAGAAAAGTTTATTATCAAATAAATACAAGTAGATCACTCTCCATGTTTTGGACAACCATTTTTTGTTGATTCAAATGAAGCAGTATGTAATCGTTTAAGCAGTACTTCAGATGTTAATGTTGTTATTCTACGAGACATTCATCATATTATGCGTGGCTGTAATATATTTCCTTAATATTATTAAATGATGCATCAAGAAGTAAAAAGACAAGAAGAATTGACATTAGAAAATAATTATACCCATAATATGCCAAAAAATAATAGAGTACTTTTACTCAAACCTGGTATGGGTCAAAGAAGATTTAATTTACAGCAATACGTTAACTTACAGAAGATTTGTTTTACGAGTTGATTTTTAAGCTCGTTGTTCGCTGTTGATCGATATTTAATAGAGATAAAGCAAAGACCATTGGAATGTTTATATACTTCGTTTACTTTCTGTAGCGATGTGACCTTCAGTTTGACGGCGGAAAGTAGAAAAGAACAGCACTAGGCCAGAAAAGAAAGGAGACAACTCTCGGCCAAACTCTTAACCGGTGAGGAGCGTATAATCCGTACAGTACTACACGGAAAAATTGACCATTTTATCCACTACAATTGCATTGCTCAAATGTGCTACTATTGGTACCATTTACTACTGAANGCATTAATAGACTGGAACACCGCTATGAGAAATGTATCAGCCTTGGAGGAGATTATGTTGAGAAATAAAAAAAAAAAATTTTTAAAAACCTTGTTTTTCTTGGTCAGGCCGGAAACTTATCAATCCACCCTCGTACTTCAATCTTTGCTTAACTATTGTATATTGTCCGCAAGTGTAAAAAAATACATTTGAATTGTTTTTACAACTCCAAGAAGCTATAGTTAAATATAAATGAAACACAATCTTTTATTACACGTTACTATTATATCTCTCTCAATAATGGCGCGCTATAAACATTTTTTTTTTCAGGAAGTGTAAACGACTATAGTTACTTTCAGACTATCTAAAATAAAGTAAAAGACAATATAATGCTCAGTCAGAGAGTATTAAATAGAAATATGAAGTAAGCTTAATAAGCATTTTTTACAAAGTCTGTTATATTCAATCTTTGCTTAACTATTAACACGTTAATATTATATCTCTTTCAATAATGGCGCGCTATAAACATTTTTTTTTTCAGGCGGTGTAAACGACTATAGTTACTTTCAGACTATCTAAAATAAAGTAAAAGACAATATAATGCTCAGTCAGAGAGTATTAAATAGAAATATAAACTATAAAATGAATTTTGTGAAAAAACAAATAAATTTGCCGATTCAAAGAGCTACATATATATATATACAAAAAAAAATGTGAC